TACGCAAGGATGGACCCAAGAGGAAATCAACCCCCTACAATTTTAAAAGAAAAATGCTTGGGAGCACTAATTAGTGCTCCCACTAATTAGGTGGCAGTGGGTCCCGTCATTACTGATGTGATGTTTTGGTCTTGGAGTTGTATTTTTTTTTTTTTACTTTTTTAATGCATTAGTGCTATTAGTGGTGATGTTTTTAGTGGGATGAATCATTGTTGATTTTAAAAACGTTATCAATAGAAATTTATGCGCAAATGTTAATAGTTAGATTTATTATTTAATAATTTTTAAGATAATTAATGATATTTTTTATTAAATATTATTAAAAATGTCACTAATTAATTATTAATTTTCAGTAACAATTTAAAAATTGTCATAAAAAATATCACTAAATACAAATTTTAACAACAGTTTAAAAAAAAATTATCATAAAAAATCACTAATTTTCAATTTTCAGCAACAATTTAAAAAATTAGTCAAAAAAAAAGTCACTAATTTTAAGTTTTAGCGACAATTTAAAAATAATGACAAAAAATAACTAATTGTGAATTCTTAGTGACATGCAAAAAAATTATTGAGAAAAATTATTTTGAACTACGATTTTACTAGAATTAATTTTCAACAAAACTTAATGAGAATTAAGTCAAACTATTAGAATCCTATTGATAGTTTACTTTTACACTACAACATTTTCTTAGTTTAGTGACATTTGAAAGTGCTAAAAAACTATTCTTCTAATGACATTTTTTGGTCTTGTGGCATTTTGAAGAAGTGCCACTTCTATCGGTGTCACGGTAGATACTTGCAAGCGTCACTGCACCATCATGGCTAAAAACTTTCAATGACATTTTAATGTCATGGTGGATATTATTTGTGGCACTATCAAGCGCCATTAAAAAAAGAGTTGGTGACACTTATAAGTGTCATTACACCATCAAGACTAAAACTTTTTAGTGACACTTTAATGTCATGGTAAGCACTATTCGTGACGCTATCAAGTGCCATTCGTGACGATAATTCGTTGTAGAACAATTTGATCCGCTCTTGCAGAGACTCGAACCGCCAACCTCCCGCACCATAAACCTTATACACCACATTCTTCCCATTACACCTCTATAGCACCATATGATTATATATGCAACATATATTATTTATATAGTACATACATCTATATTAATATAAAAGTATATGTATAAACATAATTATTTTATTGAGCATAATTTATGTAAAATAAACTATTTACTAGTAAAATAAAAAAAGACCACTATTGGCGACTAAAAATATTTTTTGGTCGCCAATTCTATACTTTTGGCTACTAATTATTTTTTAGTTGTTAAAAAACTTAACTTTTGCCGACCAAAATCGGATTTGGTCACCGAAGATGCACTTTCAGCTACCAAAATTTTGGTCGCCAAAAAATTTAATTCCCGTCTTAGGATTTTAGTTCTCCCACGCTAAAAATAACCACTTTTGGCGACTAAACTTATTTTTTAGTCGCTAATTATAGACTTTTGGCTACTAAAATTTTTTTAATCACTAAGAAGCTTTATTTTTGGCTACTAAAATATTTTTAGTCGGTAAAACCCATATAATCAGTGACCAAACTTATTTTTAGTCGCCAATTGTAGACTTTTGGCTACTAAATTTTTTTAGTTGCCAAAAAGCTTTACTTTGGATTACTGAATTTTTTTTGTCACTAAAACCTATATAATCAGCGACCAAACTTAGTTTTGGTCGCCAATTATAGACTTTTGGCTATTAAAATTGTTTAGTCGCCAAAAAGCTTTACTTTTGATTACTATGCTGTTTTGGTTGCTGAAAGCTATACTTTCAGCGACCAAATTTTTTTTGGTCAGAAAATTTAGTCGCCGAATATGCTTTTTCCTGTAGTGTATATTGAGTTTAATTTATTTATTTTTAATCATTTACTACATTGTAAAAATTTTAAAAATATATTGACATTTTTTGTTTCTTCAAAAATGCCATTATAAGCTTGAAAAGTTTTTGACTTAGTGGCATTTCTCAAAATGCTATAAAATATGTGTTTATGAAACTTTTCACCTGAGTGCCATAAAAAGTAATTTGCATCTACCTAGTGTCCTGACATTTTTTAAAAAATGCCATTGCTACTAAAGTTTAGTGGCATCTGTTGGTAAATGTCATGAACATAATTTTTTATGTCATTATTTTATAAAATGTCATAAAATTGATGTGACATTTCTTTATTGAAATGCCACTAGAGCCTTATATGTTTGTGGCTTCACTACAACAAAAAACACATTTGGCGACCCAGAAATTGGTCGCCAAAAGTACAAATTTCGTCGCCAAAAGAATCGGCGACAAATATACAATTGGTCACCAAAGGCCTGTCACTAAAAGTATTGGTGATGAAATCAGAAATTGTCACCGTATGTAGACATTTAGCGACAAGAAAAATTGGTCGCCAAAAATCATATATTTTGACGCTATAAAATTACAATTTGTTACTAAAAGATTAAAATTTGGATAGGCTATGTAGTTTTAGCGACAAATAAATGCGTCGCCAAAAGTACTATTTAACGACAAAATTAATTTGGTCGCTAAAAATCACGTTTTTAGCGACGATTAATTTTTGGTTGCTAGAAGTTCTTTGAAAAACCACTAACTTTTAGCAACAAAAACAATATGTTGTCGCCAAATATATTAACAGCGACCAAAATACCACCTGTCACTAAAAATTCAGTACACAAATTTTGATTTTAATAATTTTCTTGTTCAAAATAATCCAAAACACATGTTTTCCTGTGCACAATATATACACAAATGTAATGTAAATAATAATACACCTGTGCAAGACATTCATACTAATTCAAAATTAATAGCTATGAAAAAACTCAATAAACATAATTACAATTCTCTGACAATCTAAAACATGCATACCAAAGTACTTACAAACTACTAACATCAAACCCATAAATACATTACCAAATGCTATGTCAAAATATTTTCAAAATTACAACCAAATATTTTGATGTTAAACATCTAACCAACAAGTCATTTACTAAAATCCTATGTCAAAATATTTGCAAAAATACAACACCAAATATTTTGATGCTAAACATTTAATCCATAAATCATTTACCAAAATCCTATGTCAAAATATTTCCAAAAACAAAAAATCAAATCTTCTGATGCAGCCCAAACTATTTTCCACCATTGCCAATCTGTCACATGAAAAAACAAAAAACAATATTAGATTGACAAAAAAAAAAAAAAAACCTCGATATGAACTTCACAATTTTGATTTTAATTTTGTAATGGGAAGTCCAATCGGGTGTTGTTTGCTCATACAAGTCTATTTAGGCTTGAACAAACTGCCTGTGCAAAGTTTCGGTGGTTTCAGTGGTCATTTTGCAATTTCGGCCCCCCGAACGGGCCTTTTAAGTCTTGTGTTTTACATTTTTTCTTGTAATTTTCTAACCGAAAATCCAATCGAGGTCTCGTTTGTTCCTACAAGTCTATTTAGGTTTGAACAAGCTGTCCGTGCCAAGTTTTGGTGGTTTCGGTTGTCATTTCGCAATTTCGGCTCCTGAACGAGCCTTTTAAGTCTTGGGTATTACAATTTTCCTTCTAATTTTCCAACCGGAGATCCAATAGAGGCCCTGTTTGTTCCTACATGTCTATTTACGCTTGAAAAGGTTGCCTGTGCCAAGTTTTGGTGGTTTCGGTGGTCATTTTGAAATTTCGGCCCCTGAACGGGCCTTTTAAGTTTTGTGTTTTACATTTTTCCTTCTAATTTTTTAACCAGAAATCCAATCGAGGTCCCGTTTGTTCCTATAAGTCTATTTAGGCTTGAACAAGCTGTCCGTGCAGAGTTTTGGTGGTTTTGGTGGTCATTTCGCAATTTCGGCCCCCGAACGGGCCTTTTAAGTCTTGTGTTTTACAATTTTCCTTCAAATTTTCTAACTGGAGATCCAATTGAGGCCTCGTTTGTTCCTACAAGTCTATTTAGGCTTGAACAAGCTGTCCGTGCCAAGTTTCGGTGGTTTCGATCGTCATTTCAAAATTTCGGTCCCCGAACGGGCCTTTTAAGTCTTGTGTTTTACATTTTTCCTTTTAATTTTTTAACCGAAAATCCAATCGAGGTCCCGTTTGTTCCTACAAGTCTATTTAGGCTTGAAAAATCAGTCCATGCTAAGTTTTGGTGGTTCCGGTGGTCATTTCACAATTTTGGCCCCCGAACGGGCCTTTTACGTCTTGGTTTTACAATTTTCCTTCTAATTTTCTAACCGGAGATCCAATCGAGGTCCCGTTTGATCCTACAAGTCTATTTTGGCTTGAACAAGCTGTCCGTGCCAAGTTTCGGTGGTTTCGGCGGTCATTTTACAATTTCGGCCCCCGAACGGGCCTTTTAAGTCTTGTATTTTATAATTTTCCTTCTAATTTTCTAACCAGAGATCCAATCGAGGTCCCGTTTGTTCCTTCAAGTCTATGTAGGCTTGAACAAGCTGTCCGTGCCAAGTTTCAATGGTTTCGGTGGTCATTTCGCAATTTCGGCCCCCGAACGGGTCTTTGTTTTACAATTTTCCTTCTAATTTTCTAACCGGAGATCCAATCGAGGTCCCATTTGTTCCTACAAGTCTATTTAGGCTTGAACAAGCTGTCCGTGCCAAGTTTCGGTGGTCATTTCGCAATTTCGGCCTCCGAACGGGCCTTTTAAGTCTTGTATTTTACAATTTTCCTTCTAATTTTCTAACCGAATATCCAATCGAGGTCCCGTTTGTTCCTACAAATCTATTTAGGCTTGAACAAGCTGTCCATGCCAAGTTTCGGTGGCTTCGGTGGTCATTTTGCAATTTCGGCCCCCTAACGGGCTTTTTAAGTCTTGTGTTTTACAATTTTTCTTCCAATTTTCTAACCGGAGATCCAATCGAGGTCCTGTTTGTTCAACACAACCAAACATATTAAATGAAATGCTTGTAGTGATTTGAAAAGTAAATTATGAAAAATATACTTACAAAAGTGTTTGTCAATAAGATTCCTCTGATGAATAATTATTTTCATCAACCTGCATGCCTGCCTGATCCTTGGTCATCCTCATAAACTTCTTAATCTCTTCAAATCTTTTGTTTTGCATTTCAATCATTTTAGCTTGCTCTTGTGCTACCAGGTTCTGGGCTGTAATTTGTTCTTGCTGGATCTCAGACAAATTCTTCAATGACTCTAGTTCTTTTTGTAGGCTCGAAACCACCTCAGTATGTGCTTGTGCAGTAACAGAAGATCTGGATGATGATGGTTTTGGACCAACTCCAAAGCCTTTCAAGTATCCCGATTTCTTTCCAAGAATCTCGATTGACAGCTGCTCCTGAGTTAAAGGTATTGCCCCAGGCTCTAAAGACTCTTCATGTCGCTTTTTCAAAGCTTCCTATCAATTTGTAAACAACTTCAACAAATACCATCATTTACATAAATATGTAACTCTATTAATTGGCATACTTACATGTAATTGACCACATATTGGGGCTACCCAATCTGACTTTCTCTTGCTCCAATGGGAATCTTTGTAGAAGTCTACAAAGTCAGTCTTCTCGGTACCCTAATTCCATTTAAAAGTAAGCATACATAATTAATTTCAATCATTATGTTAGATATAATAAATGCATCACCTGTTTATACATTGCAGCTTGAAATGACTTGGAGCCCATTGTATGATTATATGGTAACCTTGCTCGACTATCCCTTGCTTTTTTAGCCAAGTTCTGCAAAATTAATTGATTAGTAAAATTAAATTGAAATTACAACATGATTCTTTAAATTAGGAAATTTTACCTGATAATCGCCATCAAGCCATACATGATCGATCATGTATACCTAAGCCTCAGAATCGACCCCTTTGTATGGTTTACTATAAGGGTCAACACCAGCGTCTACCAACTTCGAGTAATGAGTTTTTATCTTGTTACACCAACTTCTGTAAAGAGTTTTACACTTTTTATTGACTCCTTTCCGAACCTCTTCATCCTCATCATAATCAACAATCTCAAATTTATCCTACAAATATAATGAATGCTTTTATTAATATCAAAATGCAAGTAATGGTGATAATCTAATTATCTGAAAAGTAGCAAATACATGTACCCGAACTGCTTGAATGATTGGGGCTTTATGAATCTCATCAATCTTGTCCCACTTTTTTATACCAATGATTGGAGCAGCCATCCTTATCTGTAAGCCAAGTTCATTTGCAAACGGAGTGGCATAAGGTCCTACTAGCACCTTTGCATCTGCAGGGATCCAAACAGGAAGTTTTTTACCACCATTGTTAGCTATGAGACGTGCTATGCTCTTCCCTCGAGTCTGACCCCTGACTTGTCTAGAATGAGTACGCAAACTAGTGGTAGATGGCACATCATGGGTAGTAGTTACATTTGTAGATGGTGCAGCTTGAGTAGTAGCTACATTTGTAGATGGTACAGCCTGGGTTGTAGTTGCATTTGTAGATGGTGCAACCTGGGTAGTAGTTGCATTTGTCGGTGGCGCAGGCTGGATACTTAGAGCATTTGTAGATGGTGCACTCTGAATAGATGGGGTTAAAATAGGTGGTGCATGCTGAGTAGGGGCAGCAATTCTAGCTGCAGCTTGTTGGGAAGGTAGAGGAACTTTGGATGATGCAGCATGTCGAACTTTACCGGGGCCTGCCATCTAGCACAACAACGCAACAATTACATGTGTGAAGCATATGTAAAATAAGCAATTACATTAATATCAATGGCTATATAATAGAATCAATATCAAAATATAAGTGATAACTAAACAATAACATAACATAAGAAACAAAAAAAATAAAATAGACAAAGAGAGAGACAGAGAGGGACACACACAAACACATATATACAAAAAAAAAAAAAAATCTTTTTAAATTGTCATTGTACTCAAACTCAAAGGCACTTAAACAACAGTGTCATAAAAACATAAAAATGACACGACAATTAAAGTTCTATGTCAAAATCTATATTACAATCAAAATGATTATGTAGCTCATCTTCTCGGATAGTCAATGCTCGTAGTAATCATCTTCATTATCGCACCCCTCTTCCTCATCAACACCATCATTGTGTGCTCGATTAACTGATTGTAAAACCACCTCACTTGGGATAATTTGAGGATCAATGTCATTCCCATGAAGTGAGATTGTCACGGGGTCTTCAACGCTCACTGGGATAGCATCAGTTGTTTCATTTTGTTGCAATACATTGTCAGGTTCAAAGCCATCTTGTTCTGGTACATCCCATATTCCTCGATGTTGTAGTCTTTCTACGACTTTCCAATGTCCGCCTAACTTTGTATCATCAACGTAGAAAACTTGTTTCACATGACTTGGTAAGACAAATGGATCATCTTTATACCATCGACTTCTAACATCAATACTTGTGCAATGTGTATCGGTATGTAATGTTCTATTGCTATCGGTATTGAACCATTCGCATTGGAATAAAACAACTCTATGTCCAAGCATGTAATGCATCTCCCACACTCTATTCAAGTACCCATAAAAGTTAATTGTTTGTCTTTCGTGCTCCCCTTCCACAACTAACCCACTATTTTGGCATTTATGACTACTATCATGATCCTTACTATGAAATCGAACACCATTGGAAATGCAAGTTGAATACAAGTTAACATTCACACTAGGACCATTTGCTAATGACCACAAATCATCAGTTGCTTCTGGTAATCTTTGAGCTCGTAATTGGTTCATCTACATAATGACATCAATTTCAATCATTATGTTAGTATTCATATAAATGTAGCTGAATAAAGTTTGGGATTATATCTTACATGTTCTTTGAACCACTTGGGGAATTCCTTTTTCTGTCTATTTGTGATGTCACGCACACCTTCATTTTCTAAAAGATTCTTGTGTTGCCTACTTTACAAACATATGATTCATAAGTAACATATTATATTGAAAACATAATTCTACAAAAAAAAAAAACAATATTAAGAACGTACTCTAGATAATGGTCAAGCTCGAGGCTATTATTTAAGACAAACCGATGAGCCATTTCACGTTCTTTTTGAGACACGTTAGAAACCCTTGTAATTAAGCCCAAAAGGACGAACATTTTGCGCGAAGACCTCTAACCCCGACTCATGCACACTAACATCGACATTCCGTTCCTCTCGATTAAATACAGTTTCAATCCCACCCAGATACATTGAGCAAAATGTGAGACACTCTTTGACAACATAAGCTTTTGTGATCGAACCTTCTGGACGAGCTCGATTTGCAACATATCCTTTTAAAGTTCCAAGTAGCCTATGAAACAAACAATAGAATAATCTTATTACACACACACTCACATTTTTATAAATATATATATATATATATAGGTTGTGCTACAATTTAAGTATTCCAGTGTTTTAATAAGTTAGTAAGTACCTTTCAATGGGGTACATCCACCAATATTGCACAGGCCCACCAAGAATGGCTTCACGCGGCAAATGAATCGCCAAATGGACCATCACATCAAAAAACGCTGGTGGAAATTTTTTTTCTAACTTGCATAGTATGAATATTATGCGATCTTCTAATATTTCCAAATTCTTCATCTTCAATGTCTTCGAGCAAAGCTCTTGGAAGAAATTTCCCAACTCAAATAATGCGACACAAATATCATTGTGAAGATATCTACGCATTCCAATGGGAAGAAGTCGCTGTATGAGGACATGACAATCATGACTTTTTAGGCCTGTTAACTTATCACCTTTTGTGTTCACACACCTTGAGATGTTTGCTGCATAACCATCAGGATACTTAATTGACTCTAAAAACTCACAAAAACCATATCTTTCATCTGAGCACAAAGTGTACAATGCTGGGGGCTTTTCAAAAGATCCATCGGCACGCCTTTTTAAGTGCAACTCCTTCCTTATTTTCATATCTTCCAAATCCATGTGTGCTTTTTCTGTGTCTTTGTTCTTCCCATCTATACTCAGTAATGTTCCAAGCAAACTATCACATATATTCTTCTCTATGTGCATAACATCGAGGTTGTGTCAGAGTTTAAGTGTTTTCCAATATGGCAACTCAAAGAAGATGCTTTTTTTTGTCCAATTTAATACTGGATTTTCCCTTTTTCTTTTCTTATTGGTTGGATGCTTTCCAAATGGTTTGAATGTCCCTGAATCCAATTGTTCTAAGATTTGTTCCCCTGATAACTGTAAAGGTCTTGACAGGAACTCAGTCTTACCATTATAAAGTCGACTCCTTCGCCAAGGGTGGTCATCAGGCAGGTAACGACGAGCGCCTGTGTACCCTATCTTACCTCTCAACCGTTGTGAGAGAGCATTTTTGTTACAGGTGGGACAAGCCAAATACCCTTTCGTACTCCATCCTGACAAGTTTCCATATGCAGGAAAGTCATTAATTGTCCACATAACAGCTGCATGCATTTGAAAACTTAATTCAGTTGAGGCATCATAAGTAGGCACACCATCTTCCCACAACTCTTTCAACTCATCAATTAATGGTCGCATGTAAACATCGATATCTCTCCCTGGTGCTTGTGGTCCAGGGATAAGCAATGACAGCATACTAAATGCTTGTTTCATACATTTCCAAGGAGGCAAGTTGTAAGGCATAACAATCACAGGCCACATATTGTACGAGTTGCTCATGTTTCCAAAAGGATTGAAACCATCAGTGGCCAACCCTAACCTCACATTTCGAATCTCTTGGGAAAACAAAGGATGTTGCCTATCAAAATCCTTCCATGCCTCACCATCACCCGGGTGTCTCAATATCCTATCATCTACTCGTTTCTCTTTATGCCATCTCATATCTATTGCTGTTTTTCTCGACATATATAATCTCTGCAACCTTGATGTCAACGGGAAGTATCTTAAGGTCTTGTGAGGAACTTTTTTACCTTTTCCATAATTCGACTTGTATCTAGACTCTTGACAAATCAGACAATTCTCTAAATTTGCATTCTCTTTTCAGAAAAGTGCACAATCATACTTGCATGCATGAATCGATACATATCCTAAGCCTAAGGCACGTAAGAATTTTTTGGCTTCATAAAGGGTCCATGGAATCACTTGATCACTTACCGGTAGAAGGTCCTTTAATATCCCCAACAACATGTTGAAAGACTTATTGCTCCACTTGTTCAACACCTTCACATGAAGTATCTTAACAACAAATGATAAAAGAGAAAACTTACGACACCCAGGGTACAACTCTCTTTGAGCATCATTCAACAATTTGTTAAAGTTGGGCACGCCCTGTTTTTCAACATTGTTAGCCACATCATCGTCATTGTCATTGTCATTATCACCGTCCTCCTCATCTTCTTCATTTTCATCATCATTTATGGTAGTCCCCATGTAAACATCTTCTAACAAATTTAGGATTTCATCTTGATCTTCGCCTGTCTCTGCTTCCATTCTATCCCCAACACTTCCAAAGTCATTGTGGTTGTCATTATTCAATGCATGAGATTGATTCATGGGAGCAGATTCCCCGTGATGCACCCAAGTCTTATAAGAAGGGGACATCCCTTTCACAACTAAATGATACTCCACAATTTTACAAGTATGTCGTTCACAATTCAAACAGTCCATACATGGGCAACGAATCTTATCATTTGGCTGTACATTCATCATTGCAAATTGAACAAAAGCCTTCACCCCATCTCGATACTGGGAACTCATCCTATCCTTAAGTAACATCCAACTCTGGTCCATATTTGGTCACCTACAAAGCCATGGTTATGTGAAATTCCTTTGAATTAGAGAATTACATGTCAAATAGTTCCTTGAGTCATATAAGTGTTTGTCATATCATGAATGCTCAAAACATTAGGTAAACATTGAGAAATAATAAAAAAATAATATTTTCTCTCAAAAAAGCCAAACCTTGAACCAATATGGTGAAATTAAAGAACAAAACAGCTCACAAATAGGGCCTAGA